ATATATATAATATATATATATATATATATATACATACTCTTTGTCGAACCTCAACCTTTCACTACTTTTGCTCATTGGAGGCTGATTAGGTCCTTCCCCCAGGCACTCAATGATTGGACGCCTCGTCGAGTTGGAACAAGCTCAATCAATGCATCCCATCCAAGGAAAGGCGCTCCTACAGCCAGAACAATTCAAGAAGTATAGCTTCGTCTTTGCTCTCTGGAGCTGTACGTTTGTCTCTAAGATGTACTAGAAGAGGTAAATATCATATTGGCTGGCATTTTCGCCACTAGAAGGAGAGTCCCGACGATGGCAGGTATGTACAAAGAAGGGTACTACTCTTCTGCAGATGCTTGTCTACATGCGTTGCGTTGCAATGTAAGGCAATGACGAAGTTGTCAATGGAACAGGCCATAGCGGAGTTGAGGAAGACTTAGGGAAAGCTACCGATAGAGCGCAACAACGTGAAGCATGAGTCACTTGTGAGCAGGATCCCATATGTGGAATGTTGGGGCGCTCGTGTCTTGAAGCTACTATATTGAAAATAGCGTCGTTGCCTAGATGCGGCATGGTTGAGAGTGAAATGCAGATGCAAATCAGCACGAAAACCCCCCTTGCCCCCGCATCTCTGTTACTGTCGTCCCAGCATGGTCTGCAGTGGTCGAGGCATTCTTCAAGTTTGCTGTGAAAACGTTTCCTGCTAGTTTGAAATATAGAAGCCTTGCCTGTTTCACCTGGACGACGGTGCAAACAGTTGATACACTCCGCATATGGAACAGGCCCGCATTACTCTCCACTACTCAGGGGGGAGGAGGGCTGACGCTTGGCAAGTACTTTGGGAAACTTCAAGAAAGTTGCTGTTCTCCTACATAGTTGTGATGCCTTTTCGGTAGAACTTACTGCTGTGCAGCAGGCCACCCTGATGTGGGCGTGTGGTTCATTGTCCACCCCTGTCCCTGTGTAGTATGCGATGCTACCAAAGGTAACGAAAGCCCTCGGGCTTAGACTGTCCCGGGAAGCAGTGGAGACTACCTCCTTCATCGCTCCTTAAAAGCAGCTGACAGCCCTCACAAGTCTCCAGGCTTTGCAGCAGTAGATGTTCAAGAGCCGTGAGTTGGGGGAGAGGAGGCATATTGGTTTGTGTTGCAACGCACCTCGCTGCAACCATTGGTGCGGAACAACCCCAAATGCCATTACGCCCTAGTCTTCTTGGCTGTATACACTAACGCTGTGAACTGTTGCTGAAGTCTTCTATTCGACTGAGTGCACGTTGCCAGCTGCGGCCATAGGCGGGTTTATCTGTTAGCTTCAGACAATTGTCAACCAAGACTGTAGTACCTAGGTGGAACAGTCGGTTCGTTGAAACTGGTTTATAAACACCGTCTCAAGAAATACTATGCCACCCTCAGCAATTCAGTGTTCAGAAAATGCCATTTACGAGTAGAAGCAAGCGAAAGATGCTCTTACTCGTCTATCGCGGCGTCGGCACACTGTGGAGACGAACCGTCGACAAGTGGTCTGACTGGAAACCGGTAGCAATTTGTGGTCAGTAACACTTTCACACGGCCTAGAAAAATGTTAAATTAAACCATAATCGGTGTATATTTCATTATACCTTTGGTTTTGTGTATCTTGTTTGCTGCAGGCGGACGTGGCGCGTGAACGCGTCGCAGTGGTTGTTGGGGTCCACATCATCACGTGCCATCATCTCGCTCGGCGAAGGCTACTGCTTCTGCCACGTAGCGCCCTCCTTCTGCATAAAGTGCAGACCATATACAATTAAGTTGCTTTCCGTGTTGTTTGCGTTCGCAGTTGCTACGAAAAACTCCTAAACTTTCTCTTTCGCTAGCACAGCTCCTTTTGGGTGTCAAAGATGGCTCCCCTCCGAGTGCAGGTTGCAGCGTTGGCTGCAATGGTGGCGGTACAGCTGAACGTCTCGGGCTCTCTTGCAAGTAATGAGGCGGCACTTACTACTCCAGAAGGGAATGGGAACGCTCTGACCGGCTTGGGGTTCCCAAGCCTCTTAGGTGGTGCTGGATTTGGGGAGCTGGACAAGATGCTGCACAGTTCGTTAGCATCTCTCTTCCGCGGTTTCGGGGCCATTGATGGAATGTTCCGCCCAGATGCTTCTCCTCTTTCTCTCTCCTTTGTTGAGGGGGATGAGAAGAGGTAAGTCTGCAAGGAAGCTTTTAGTGCCGTGCTGGGAATTTGGTGTTGCGGGAAGACTCTTGAGGCTTCTGCGGTCGCTGCTGTTGTCCACTTGCCCTCAGCTGCCAAATTAGAATCCGAGGAGGAAATGTGGGAGGCCTTGCGAGTGGCATGAAGCTGGGTCTGGACACTAATCTGCGAATGCTGCACGCCTCCGTCCATCAGGAAGCGAGCCAGAAGAGCGAAAGTGGAGAGAAGAAGATGAGGTTAGAGGACACTCATGCATTCAGGGGGCGCCTAAGTGTCTTGTGTTCATTTGATTTGTGTCGTAGGGGATCGGGGGTTGATTAGTCCGTCTGGTCAGCCGGTGAGGGGGCTGTCAGGCCTCCACGTGACGCTGGCTCACTGCAGTCCTGATGACTTGTTGTTTTGTACTGTTGCGTGTGCTTCTCAGTTTCCTGTCGCAGTCAGTTCATGTTTCGAGCGCTCTGGGTCTTCCCGAGCGTTGCGTTGCGACGGCAGGCGCCTTGATGTCGGGCTATGGGGGCTACCTGTTGGATGGTGAGGGATCGGCTGGCCTGGTGGTTCTACCTTCACTCGCCTTGCTGAAGGAGAGCGTAGAAAAAGGGGATTTGCCGGAGGGTGTTGTGGACGCCGTCAAGACTGGAGATCAACACAAACTGCAGGAGCTCTCGGAGACGCAGCAGTGCCTTGTCGCCGGTTTCACAGCAGAGCAGTGCGTCCAGTTGGGGGGCAAGAAGCCATCGGTGGCATTTGTCCCCCCATCTGAAGGTGCACAGTTGCCGGTCCCCCGCCTAGACGTCTCCCTGGACGTGTTGAGCTAAGCGGTGGGAGATGCTGCGTTGCCAGCGGCAGAGCACGGGTATTGCGCAAGAATAATCGCAGGGGAGTACGTGTTTGTAAGTACGCCAGAGCGGCTCCTGCTGAGGGGGATGGCGGGAGCGGCCAGCTTTATCTGTGCCTTCGATATGTATTCGGGTTTTTGCGTTCTTGCACACATCTCCGCGTCCTTGAGTACGTATTACTGGGTTTTAAAGTGCAGAGTTTGGGAGAAGGCAGTGCGTACAGCGGAAGCGCGCATTACGGGCAGACAGGAGCTGCCTGCCTGTCTGGGGGGCAATTGGAAGACTGTCCGTCGGCTTGCTTCGTGAATGTGTTAGGTTGTGGCGGGGTAGAGAAGCGGGCCGTTCTGCGGGAAATGTCGTAGCAACTGGCGCAGCAAGAGGGTGGAACCCAAGCCACGGCAACAGCTACAGCTGTTGTGCAAGAGGACGCACGTTTCAGAGCAGTTTATGCAGTGTTAACAGTTTTCGAACAGTTCAAGTTTTCGAAGGACGCGGTTACGAAAAGGTGCAAACGGGGTTTGTAGGGTTGCTCGCAGCCGAGCGGTCTACACACACTGGGATCGTTGCTAGTTATGCACACCGGGATCGTTGCTAGTTATGCTGTGTACGAATATATAGCTGGAGAAGGAGCATTTTCAGCGCAGGTGACACTCTCAGCTAGGAGGGTAGATTGTACACCATTCCATGCAGGTCTTAGGTAGGGGGAGGTAACTGCATTGCCAATGCAGTGCATGTAGGACATCGCGGGGCATTAGTGCCTGAAAGGAGCTGATAGCATTCTCGATGAATTCCACGGGGTATGCGTGCAGCCACATGCACTGTCGCAATTGTTTACGCCGTAGCGGCTGCAGGACGCGGTTTAACATGACGGAACTGACGGAACAGACTGGTTTGTTCTGTGGCCGGACTTCATCATCTGCGGCCTACGTTCAAACTCAGAATTCGCTGCTGCCTCTGGCTCAACGTGGTAGCTGCTGCAGCTAGCGGTATAGCAAGTGTACGTTACTGAAGCTGATACTAGTTGATGCGGCTAGTTGACTAGCTGGTACTGGCTGGCGCAGATTAATGACTAGCTATCAGTAGAAGCTCCCACACCCTGGTTCCCTGGCCAGTAAGCACAGGACTCGACAGAACAGTGGAATTTTAGGGGCAGTATAGATGTAGAGAATACAACCAGCTCTCAAGCCTGTTCTGTTTCTCCCCATGTGGGCATACAGCCGCGGTTGGAGATCTTTGCCTACGGTGGAGAGAAAGAGCATCAGATATGCTCAAAAACCCCACACCATGTTTCGAAGAGTGCAACACAGATGTTACTGCCGCAGATGTTTTGTAGATCTTTCTGGCATGATGTCGAACATGCAGGTTCCTGCATCAGTCCAGGACACGCAAAATGCAGTGTGAACGCACAAGCTGCATGCTCCTTACACTCATTCAGCTGCTAAAGACGGCGTCGTGTACACCTCACCGCGGCTCCTGTGTTCGTTCCACTCGTCCATCTGTTCAGCTGTACACGCAATCTGTGCGCGGTAGTACTGATACCTGAGGACCATGAGCAGGTAAATGACAACATGTGACACGCGTCCCTTATATCTTCACAAAGAACATAGAATACGCAAACAAGGAAGGCTGTGGCACAGCTCATGGTCACACCAAAGTGTGACCAGCTGTGCACAGCTGTGCACACGCTTTTGTGTACCGACTGCGAAAGGCTTCATGCTGCTTACTTGCAGCGTGGATTCTCCTCGCCTAATTCCCTTGCACACCTGCGAGACGTTGCAGAGGTATAGAAGCCACAACCTTCAGTCTCTACACGTACTGTCCTCGAAGATCCCTCCTCTATATAGATGCAGCTCCCTTGCTTTTGCAACACAGTAAAACTGCCATTTTTCATCAACAGAACGCTCACTTGAACTACACGAATGCATAAGGTATACTTTTATGCTCTACCTGTACGTTAACGCTCAACAAAACATAAATTCTTCAGAGACGGGATTTAAAAGGTTTTGCTTGCGAGCCAGGGCATAGAGGATTCGCGCATGATGGTCTTATCAGCTCCTCACCGGCAGAACATCGTATACCGTAGAGCGCAGTTGCTGCCCTGATTTGCTTGTAACAGTCTCGGATCCTGAATAAAAAGCACACTGCCAACTCGCAACAGAAAATCGCCCTGACTTTTCTGCTGCTGCAACCATATGGGACAGTTACAGCAAACAGCTGCAGCAACTTTAACGAGATCTTCTGGACTCCTCATTTCCGTGAGTTTGAGGCGTTGGCACTTGCTGTTGGCTGTAGCTGCTTGCCGTCTGCATAACATCGCAAGCTTATGCTGCTTAACCTGCCAGTATGCCGTGGAAAGCAGTCGCAGCAGCCCATACAGCTGCATTCAGACGGCTATTCAGAAGTGTTGAAAAGGCCAAAATGCATTATCTGCAAGCTGTCCTGCCGACCTCAGCATGAGGGTTTTGAGCTGTGAGCTCTTCGATGTTCCGCTGGTACATCTGCACCACCTCCGGTTTCGTCATTTTATGCAGAAGTATCACAAAAAATACTTGCGGCTTGACGTTACAACCACATAAAACAATACGTCTAACTGCACGGTAAAATCAGTCATTCACACAACGCCTGAAACCCTGTCACATGCCACGGGGCTGGGAGTTCTCTCTGCAGCCCTCAGAGGCGGGCATTTCAGCTAACAGGAAGGCCCCAAAGATTGAGAAGAAAAGATAGAAACTCGAAAAATTCAAATAGTTTCATTTTTGTCCAATTGCCTAGAAATATGGCTTCCGTGGAAGTAGTGGCAGTGGCAGTCCGTACGCGTACCGGTGTGTGTATATAATCGGCGAAAAACCCTGTGCATCAATTTTCAATAAAAATCTCTGTTAAATTAGGTAAATTTGCCTTAGCCTGAATCAGTTCGTGGTGTACCTTAGAGGCATTCAAGGTAGTTTTGCACTGGGCCCCCGTGGGACGTAAGGTAACGCCGGTATTGCAAGTAAGCAGCCGAGGTGAGCTGCACGAATGCATATCTTAGTTTCCGTGAGCGGAATTTCTGGGAGCTATCTTATATACACTTCTCCCATAATTCAGCGGAGTTCTTTTGCTTCCACAATCCATGTTCTCCCGACAACCCGTCAACGTTACTTACGCAGCGATGGTGAGCAGTACATTCAAAGACTGAAGCAACGGTAAACTAGCCTGTGATGCTAAGTCTTCATCAGTACAACTACGCCGATCCAAGCGCATGGGGGTTGCTTAGAGGAGGCAAGATAATAAAGTGTCAAAAGTTCATTTTATTCGAAATGCCGATGTTTCGATCTCAAACTATCTGTTGCTGGATTTTAATACAGAAATGCTAAGTCGTTGATATCTTCAGGTACACGAAGTATATCCAAAAGGCTGTAATTATTGTAAAACCATTGTTTCTAATTAACTGGACGCCGCTTTGCAACCGACTAGTTCATGTATAGTTGTGCACACTGTAGTCTAGCAGATGAAATGAAAATTCGCATATTGCGTTGGCTCTGATTGGGTTCATTTGAAGTAATATTGGTTTTGCAACTCAACTGCGCGAGCGACTGCCATAATAAAAATGAAGATAAGTGTTATTCTGTGCTTTCGCGACTATACGAGCTCCTCCATATTTACACGTATAAGTCACAATGCATATATGCATCTATAACCTGCATGCACTCTTGTTTTCTTATTCTGCTTTACCCGGTTGCTTCCATCGAGTAAAGCAGACGATATGGATGGGATAATGAGCAACTCGCTTGGTTCCATCCAAATCCTTTCCGTTTCAAAATAAAAGCCTCAAATGTGAAACGTAAGTGCCCTCTAAATGCGTTGACGTTTCATTTTAGCGATAGGCAACGCAGAGCAGGTACGACCCGGTGCTTATTTTCTCAGCTGTCTTAAGAGCTAGAGTCTACAGACTCTATCAACACAAAAGTAACCGAATACTTTTCACGTTTCTATTGTACCTTCGTCTGGTGTATCCTTTAGACCTAAAATTTCAATCCCACCCGGTACACGTTGGGCTGCGTGTATTCAGAGTTCCCCCTCAGACAGTCGAATTTGCAGAGGCTCGTAATCTCTCACACTAATCATTCCTCAGATTTAAAAGCGGAAAACTTATTTGTTTCTTTCGGGACAAGTTCTCTGCTGACGCACAACGTTCCTTCTGCCGGCCCTCGGTGTAGTTGTATAGACGAAATGATCGTCAGGCTTCATCCAGAGGTACACACCAGCCCAGAGAGATATGAACATGCGACTGAGCACATTCGAAAATTCAGGTGTATATGGTCGGTTCATTGGGGTTTCCAGGCTCCAAGTTCACAGAACTGCACTGACAGAATTCAGCCCTTGACCGCCAGTCGCCGGACCGAGACCGGGCGCAGAATGACGAGTTGAAACGTGGGGTAAGGAGGTAAAAAACAGCATAAACTTGTCCATTTTGCTTTTTGTTCATTTTAGAGGGCATGTATGATATTAACTACACGAGCTGCCTCTGCATGAATGGCCAATCTCTGACGGGACTACTCGACAGCAGACTCTCGAATGAAAAGCCGTCGTCAGGAGAGCACGCGTGCATGCTGCAGGGAAAGAGGCAACAGAAGATGTCGCCCTTTGATATTTTTATTTGTTTGATATTGCAAACAAAGGGAGCGGAGCTTCGCGCAGCAGTGTGTAGTTTCAACGCATGCTGTCTTCCGCTTGAGGAGCGGTGAGGAAGGTCTGGCGGAGGGCGGCGGGCTGAGCGCAGGGCGACCTGATTTGTGTCTCAAGTGTATCCGAAGCTGTTGTATAACCACCAGAACTCCTACTTAGAAGGAAGGCCCTTCAATAGGACTACAGTTGCATTTCCAGGCACCTTATATTCGCCGGACCGTTCAAGAGGGCTCGATGGGGGTCTGTCGGCTGACCCCAAACCCCATGGGCATCACCCATCAAAACCATTAGTGAAAAGGTTGAAAATGAAAAGTCTTGCCATTCCTTCATTCATACTAATATGTGCTGCTGTCGCCAAGGGTTACCGCCTTGAGTCAAATGGTCTGGCCAGCAACAGCGCATCTATGCCACCGGGCACGGACGAGGAGGAGGTACCTCGGGCTCTTCCAGCAGGTTTCCCAGCGTCCACTAATAAAGAACATGACAAGCCCATACATCAAGTAGTACAGGAAACATCGTTTGCAGAGGATGCAGGCACCTCTGTAGTCCCTGGAACGGAGGGTCAGGATAGGGGCTCAGCAAGGGATGTGCAGCAGATTACCAACATGCAAAGGAAACACAAGACGAAAGTTCCCGTTCACGCTTCTGAAATGAAGGAGCTGGCCAGTGTTGTCAAGATATTTGTAAACACGGTGAAAGCCGATTTCGTCTCTCCTTGGCAGATGATGGCTCCGAAGGAACACAGCGGGTCCGTCAAATCTCCATTTCAAGTATATTAAAAGCAGTGCACAAGAAGAGCCCTATACACAGACTTTTCCTTGTTCCTATAATTGCATTTTCCCACCTTTTCTTTGCAGCTCGGGATTTGTCGTGGAAGGCCAAATGATAATGACCAACGCACACCTCGTTGCCGACCAGACTCGCGTGCTCGTGAGGAAACATGGGTAAACGACCACACGAATAGCATTTCGCAGCGAGTCACAGAAAGGAAATTATCAAACTAAGTGCATACTATTTGTGAGCAAGGAAACATAACCATTAGATGCTCCGCCAGTTTCTAAGATAACAGCTCCCTAGGACGGCGATCAATAGAGCAAAGAAACAGCCTCTGTTAGAGCCTCCTTTAGCTTGCATTGTTTCATTGTTGGCAGAAACCCAAAGCGTTTCCTTGCGAAGGTCATTGCTGTTTGTCACGAGTGCGACTTGGCGTTGGTAACGGTGGATGATGGAATCTTCTGGCGCGGGCTTCAGCCTCTGGCTTTCGGAGGAGTCCCACATTTGAGGGTGAGGGGATTAGACGTGTAACGAACACACAAGAAGGGCCAAATGATCTTGCAGTCACTTCGCACTGAAAGACGAATTAAACAGGATATACACGGATATGCTAAGATCTAAAGGACAAAGGGCATGTACTGGTCCCAAAATATAATCACTTTGATTTTGGATCCAATATATGCCAGTCTAGGGAAGGCATCCTTTACATGAAGGAAGGTTGCGTCGTGAGAAACGTCTCTAGGCTTGGGGTACACAACAGTGTCACTGAATGTATACATACACGGATGTCTCCATGCAGGAATATGTGCATGCACAAATGCGTTCATGCGTGGGCATGTGCTGTGCTTCAGGAAAGCGTCGTTGTGCTTGGATACCCCACAGGCGGCGACCAGTTGAGTATTACGGAAGGTGTTGTCAGCCGGGTGGGGGTCTCGATGTATGCTCATTCTTATTTCGGGTACGCGTTCGCAATCTTTCAGCTCAACTCAAAGCCGCTTTGTGAAGTAGCGGCTCCTTAAATATTACACTGGGTCAGCTGCAACTGCAAGAAAGCATTGGTGAAGCTGCAGCGGGGAGGTGCTCAAGTGATTTACAGGCGCTGGAGCAGATTCAGTGGCAGCTGCTCTTGTTTTGCTCTTGTAGGCTTCTTACGGTGCAAATTGATGCTCCTATAAACCCAGGAAACTCGGGGGGTCCGGCTATTTCAGCGGGGAAAGTAGTTGGAGTTGCATTTCAGGGTTTCAGCGAAATGCAAAATGTCGGGTACATAGTGCCATATCCGGTAATTCGGCACTTTTTAAACGATATTGCTTTGCACAGAAGACACACCGGCATCGTTTCCATGGGAATCAAAGCGCAAACTATGGAAAATGATGGTAAACCGAACATCTGCATACTTTTGTAGTGTGAGCAGCAAGCAGCAAAGAAGACGAGGCGAGGTGACAATCCCCTGTTGAGGCGTACACTGTGGTGCTATTCAGGAAGTGTATAAGTGGTTGCCGTTGCGATACCTGTGCAGCTCTAAAACAGTTCAAGGGCCTGCACACTTTGCCGCCCGAAGCGCTGCCGGAGAACGTGACGGCCTCGGGAGTGTTAGTGCTGTCTGTAGACAAACTCCGTTCGAACCTATACATGCAAGGGAAGATAGCACTGCCGATTTCCCGCTATGAACAGCTACAGGAGGCTCGAGATAACTGTGAATTGGGGGCAGCGACGGAGAAAATGCATACCACAGCTTCCGCTGAGGACTGTCAGGGCAGGTGCCCGATCAAGAAGAAGCCGTGCCCTGCTCTTGTCGAAGATCAGCCCCCAGGAGAAGCTGATGACGGCAGCGCGCAACAACGAGATGTTAAGGAGGTCCCCTCCAGAGTCATCTGGCAGCCCCAAAACTGGGCATCCAGCAGGCCGCCATCTGCATGCATCCTGTGCAGCAGCCAGAGGTCCCCTAATAACATGAACGCAGAGAGCGGACCCATCCAAGTCCAAGCGAAAGGCCGTCCTTCGTCTGCACCCCCAGCAGTATTGACGAGCCTGCGTAAAAGTGAAGAGGAACGGATGGCTAACGGGGAAGCGACGGGGCAGGAAAACAACACTGAACATTCTGCTGCAACCCAAGAAGAAACGGACGAAGAGGAACTGCCGCAGCAAAATCTCCGGATCTCCCCTGCTGTCATTGATGTGGAAATTGCAGTCCGTGCAGTTAAAGAAGAAGACAAAATAACCAATGCAGGGACGGAGTCAGCGAAAGATGAGACAGCAGCTTTGAGTGAGTCCGCATCCACAAACCTCAAGTCCTAAAATCCCATACCCTGCATGAGAAAAGGCCGTTCACTTTGCGTGTCTCAGAACCCAAGTAAGGCTTGGTGTTAGTTGTTTGAGATGTAGGAATCTGAGTTATGCGCCCTCAGGGGACGAATCCTCCGCTTCAAATGCAGAATTGAAGAAGGCGCCGTCACAAAGCACATCGACAACGAAAGGTGTATTTAGGAATCGACGCAAAGTCCACATGGAGGGCGAAAAAGAGAGGAACGAGATAAGCTGGCACCCGGAGGAAAACCCTGAAGCCGAATCCTCACATCATTCAACCGACAATTTTGTCCCCCCCGTTCCAGCTTCAACAACAACACCAGAAGAGAGACCAGCACCAGCAACGCGAGAAGCAGCCCCAACAGCAGCTGAGGAAAGCTTTCTCCCACCCCGAGCGAAATTGGAATCGCTTCTGCATAAACTTCTCGTTGGTAAAAGTACAATACGCCAAATCAGGAGCCTTCTGCGCACTCCAGAAAATGAACTAAATGGACCTGAGAGGAGAAAAGACGGTAACTTTGGAGTTAACAACGGTTTTACTCAAAACCGAGAGCACAAAACCTCTCCTACGACCCAGAATGCAAGTAGCGAACAAGTTTCAGTTGCTGTCGCGGAGCAGCAGGAGGCACCAACGAGCAAAATGCAGAAGGAAACCAAAAGCAAGCTGGGAGAGGAAGACGCAGCCATGCAGCAAGCGACGAAGCAGGAGCAGCTAAAGGAGCAGCTCAACGCTCCGAATAGGCCTAACCAGGAAGAAAATGGAAAATCAAAAACCAGCGACAAAGATGTAACACTGGCTGCCCCTGTACACACACTCGTGGACAACCCATACTTTGATTCCCGGCTGCTGGATGAAGAGGAATTCCTTGGTTTTAGAGAAGGCGATGTCATCCTGTCTATCGGCAAATACAGTAAACCCTAAGACATAAACCCTGGAATACTGAGTCAAAGCGATTCACATACAGATGTGCGAGTACTGCATCTATACAGGAGTTCAGTCGTGCACTTTGAATAGCCGCGTTGAACTCCGCTGACCACATTCAACATCAAAATGCTAGCCCTAAACCACCATGAGATGGGCTCGAATGCGTGCGATGCAGATGTGGCGGATGACGGGACGGTGTCTTTCAGGTGCGTTTATTGCTGTTGTGACTTTTGGCTTCTGCGTGACGGTTTCGTTGGTGGTGCTAGTTGTTTACTCCCTCTATGTTCGTCTTCAGCAGCGTTGGCTGCACGCTGCTGCAAGACCTTGTCTGCTGATGAACTGTGCGTCACAGAAACTTGGAACGGGTTGATTTTAGTTACGTCATTACCGAATACTTCAACGGACAAACCACATGGGCATACGTGCTCAGAGAAGGTCGTGTTATCAAAGTCACTGTAAGTGGGATATATATATATATATATATATATATATATATATATATA